ACAATAAACTACTACATACTACTACAAGGCTATTAGTACTATACTATCCCTGATTTGTGGTTTTTCATTTATTGTGTGTTTGTGTGTGTGTGTGTGTGTGTGGGGGGGGGGGGGCAGGCATATTACGGAACCCCTCGTGATAAACGAGAGACTACTGTAGTTATCAAGTTGAGACCATACAAATTCTGAAGAGTCATTACAGACAATAATTTTTATGAAGCCGAAAAGATGGTTGTTTGTTGAACTTGAAATATTAAACCATTTATAGCACCAAGTATTTGTTCTATTTCCCACAAGATCTTTATCAAATTATCTAAGTTTGTCCTTTAAATTGTTTTAAACCTTCAGACTTCGGCTCTATGATTAAAACAAGACCAGATTCCATCACAACAAAAACAAAACTTATCATTCTCTGATCCTTCAGTCAGTTTGTTTGTTAGCTGGGTCAAACATCCAATTTACATTACTTTTATTTTTAATTCCAATGTAATAGCCTATTGAACTAGAAAAATCAAGTCTGCTCTTAATCTAGAAAGCTGGTTAAAAATAGAAATAAAGCTAGTGCTTCAAAAACAGTAATAAGCTGTAAACATCTGTTTAGCAAACACTAAAACCCAAATGATAAAAGATGAAAATTCAGCTTTAACTACAGAAAAATGTTGCCAGGTATTGCACAATAATGACCACCTCTGGGTTTTATTATACAATATGTCCACGTGAATTTTATACAGTTTTAGATTAAAATTAAAAACTGTAACAATAAGTTCATGAAAAATGACTAAATAAAAATCTTAACATTTAAGTTCAAACTAAACTTCACTCATTGAAACAATACGGCCCGATGACCTAACTCAAGGACTCGGCTTTATTTATTTTTTTTTACAATTCAGAGAGCTAGTTATAAATATTTAACATATAATAACAAAATTAACTATTGCAGTTCTTTGTTGTATATCATTGTCATTCAAATTGTTTTAGCTTGTTTTTTGTGCCAACAAAGACTCAGGTGTTGAAATAAAAACAGAGGTGGGGAAGTCTTTTCCCTTAACGACACAATTCTGTTAGAGAAAGCAACAGATTATTATTTGGATTTAATGATGCTGTAAAGTTGGACAAACTCTCACTCTTAGGGTTAAACCCTCATTTTACTTCAGGCGTTGTATTTATTTCTTTTCTCCCTGAAGCTCCGCCCCTAAAAGACAGGTAAACACAATAACCACTGCTCATAAACACCAATGTTTTAGAGTAAATCTGTGCAAAATGTTCACTAAGCTGAAGATTTTCACAATCCTTTTATTACACCCAGTTATTGGCTTTGTTGTTGACAATAAAATGAAGCAAAAAATGATTAAACAAAAGCGCTTCAACCACTTGGTTCACTTCAACCACCTGCTTACAAAAAATGTGTAATAATAACTATTATAAGCATTTTTAGGGGGGTTGTGTAAGGTATTTACTTGTAGTTAGGATCTAACCTTTAGCAGACAGTAGTCAGAGCTTGTTTGTAAAATCAGGGAGCACAGCGATGTCAAGCTAGTAGCTACACCAAGAACTTTTTCAAAATCTAAAAAATATCCACTGCAGCCAGCATGAGTAGGGCTGGGCGATATGGACCAAAATTTATATTTCGATATTTTTAAGATAAATCGTGATATTCGATATATCGATTTTTTTTCTTCTGTCCATAAAGTAATAACAAAAATATATTTCTGAGTAAAAGCTTTGTCCCAATTGTCACACAGGCACATTTATTAACTGTACAAAATAAATGTCTACAAAATAAACTATTTTCATGCATTAAAGTTGGTTTTCGCTTCTTCATACTGCACTTGTAGCGCTGTTTTAAATGGTGAAAAAGGTTCGTTGTGTTCAAACCTTTCGTGGGGACTTGTTTTCGGCATTGTCTACAGAAAACATTTTTCTGCTGCTCATCTTACAAATTAAATTAGAATCATCTCCAAATAACAGAGCCATTATTATTTTAGCTGCTCATGCTCTGCGAATGCCGTCTCACCTGGAGAAGCAGGAAACGGGGCAGCGGCTGAGGGGCTGGGCTGAGAGAGACGGGAGGGGCCGCGTGGGAGAAGGAGACGACAGCAGGTGGATTTTCAAGTATAACACTATATAGTTTATATCGATATAGTCTCATCTTACATTGCATATGAAATTATCTTGATATTTTAAAAAATATCGAGATATCGCCCAACCCTATGCGTGAGATATTTTTGTATCTCAATGCATGTACTTGAGACAGATGTTTATGGTATTGCTATTTCTCAGTTAAAAATGTTTATGCTGCTTTGCTAATGGTGAGCACTGTGACTCACCTACTGCTGATCAGCTGAGTCCACTGGGAATTGTTCTTTCTTTAACCAACCGTTCTTCATTTTTACAAACTATGTACAGATATCTACCCACCACCCCCTAAAAAAAAGGAATGAAGGCTTTGCTTTAAAATTCACATTTAATTTTACTCTCTGTAGTCTTTCAACATCATGGAACTGTCAGTCACGGCTGATGGATTTTAATGAGCCAAGCTCTGGGTTGTGGTCCGCTTGTCTCTTCGGTTTGCGTTTCTACTTGTCTCTTTAAATTGAGTTTGCTCTGACCATTGTCTACTGCAGGTAAAACACTGACTACTCAAACCTAATCTGCACAACCCCACTCAAAAAAGTTGATCCATTTTTTTCCCCTTAATAATAAAACACACAATAAACATAAAATATAGAACAAAAATTCAAATCATGGATTTTGAAATAACAATCTTAAGGAATCCTGTTGTTTTTTTTTTTTAAACATAATTTTTCCATTTATCTCATCGAAAGATGCATGCAGAAACATTTGCAGCTGTTCAATTACTTATTCAGCAAATAATTAAATCAGCACTGCAGAACAAAACATTTTTGTTGCATTGGCACAGTGTTGTTTTCTATATGTGTGCAGGTTAAGGACACAAATTAACACTGTCATTACAGGGTATCCTTTCTGTTTAACTCAAGTTCAGCTGCTTACTCTTCTGCAAGTTGTAGAAACTTTATATCTAATATTAAAGGAGCGTGATCTGTGGAATTAAAATTTTCCAAATTGTTACCGATTCAGCTATAAATGATAGACATGCAAGTAAATACCAAGTTGTGACTGTTAGCATAGCAATGTATACAACTATAAGTGCCAAAAGTACATCCTGTCGCCAGAAACATTTGCCAGAAGGCTTCTGATTCCTAAAACAATCACTGTACACAACTGCAATCACACACAAACACGTTTTACATGAACTAATGTACTCATACCAGCTGTCTGTTTGAAATCAGTTCATTTGTGTTAATACAGTCACATTTACCGAGAATCCTCTCATTTTGTCCTCCATTTTGAATTCACACTTCCCAAGTTCCTTCAAAGTGAGATCGCACACTTTTTCTGTGCAGCCTGTGTCTCTTTACAGGAACGTAGGTGAAGAATCGTCTGGTTCTATGTTAACTCTCGGTCGCCCTCGCCTCCATAAAGATAATTATTCGTCCCAGATGGTTGGACGTACTCCTCGGTTTTATCCCAGTCTGAGACCCAACCTCCTCCAGCTCCGTTGGGATCCGATGCCTGGTTCATGGCGCCGTATCCGGCCCCGCCGCTCGTACGATAGAGTTCCTCCGTCTCATTGGCGAGCTCGTCCTCATCCAGGATGCCGCATTTCTCCGCGTTGAGCTCCTCCGGCTCGGCCCAGGTTTGTTTTTCCCCAGAAGCAAAGATGCCTGCAGCGCATGTAAAAAAAAACAAAAAATCAATCAGGTATTCATTCAATAACGGGATTCAGTTATGTCCTTAAATAGTCCTGAAAACAAGTGTGCAGCACGTGTTTTCCTGAAGTGATTCCAGTGAAAACAACACAAAGTTGAACACGTTGTTGATCTTAAGTAGAAAAGAATGAGATTACAAACCGTAGAATATAACTCCCCCATAATGAACGAGTGAGGCAATGAGAAACACGCCCTGCCACTCCTCTCGTGTCTATTGAACACAGACAAGAAACAACACAACAGTTATATAAGCTTCAAGCATGAATGTTCTCAAAGTGACAGTGTAAAGTGCAGATTTAGGTTTCATGTTTTGTGCATAAACTTCGTTTTTTTTTATGATTTTACGTAAATTCCTCCAAACCGAAACACTCTCCCTGCTCTGAATAAATAAACTGATATTTGTTTCTTGTGCGGCAAAGCGTCTTGACATTTTAAAATGCTAAATACACTCCCTGGCCAAAAGAAGCTAAACACCCAGAGCGTCAAAAAGAACATGAAACTGCACAGGTCAAAAAGTCACGTGATCTAAAAACAAACAACAATTTGGTGCAGAGACATAAATCTGTCCTGTCCTCTTCTGCAGCAAGTGAGCCCAAAGCTGTTGTAACTGGGCCTTGGTCAGATGTTTGAGCTGATAGCGCACGCTTGATTAGGGAAAGATCCGAGGACCTTTCTGGCTACAAGAGTACTGCAACATGATCAGAGTCAGAGTTTCTTTATTTGGCGTTCCACCACATGCGGTACATGTGATGGAACAAAATTGTGTACACAGGGTCCCAGTTACATCCAACCATAAAAATGTAAAAGAAAAACAGTAATAAGATCTAAGATATGAACTAAGAAAACCGTTAACTAAAAATACGCTAAGCACTAGTCGCATAAAAACAATACGCCGAACAGCGGCACGAACATGAGTCTGTGTGAGCAGATGAGTACGAATGAACACAAACATGAAACAGATCAGCAGCAACATGAAACAGATCAGCAGCAACATGATGTGATTTTTCACAGTGATTATTCTGATTAGAGATTCATGAGTCTAACAGCTTCAGGGTAGAAGCTGTTCCTCAGTCTAGTGGTTCTACACTTAATGCTCCTCAACCTCCTTCCTGAGGAGAGCGGGGCAAAAAGTGTGTGCTGGATGAGTGGGGTCCTTCATGATGCAGGCGGCTCTCTGGATGCAAGTGGTCCATAGACGCATGTGATGTGTATTAACAGGCATTGTTTTAAAAGATGATATTGGGGCTGTCTCGGGAGGGGTAAGACATTGCTGAATGCCACTGAGGTAAGCTTTGTGCCATCAAAGTTTCCTGGCCCCGAGTCAGACCCTATGGTTCTCCACACCGTGGTGCCAGAAGTATCACTGGTGTCTTTCCACAACATTGACTGTAGTGGTCCTCAGTACTGTTGTGCATGGTAAAGCAGATTCAGTGGTAAACCTGCTGAATGCCTCTTGTCATCTGTCCACATCTGCTAGTTACAGCACCATTTCAAATGAAGCCTTCGCTGCTCTGGTGTTAAAGGCAGCTGACACACGGAACAATGAACCCGTCATCCTACAGATGCCTATAGGAGGCGACATGTAAAGAGCTCAATATCTGTGTACACATGCCACATGTTCTGTAACTCTTCTAACACAACATGACCATCTTCTCTCATTGTGGCTTATCTTGGGTGATCAGAGCCTTAACAACACGTGTGGTTGACCTCACATACACCTTGGTTCCACCACTGGGAAACTGATATCTGTACACCCTCAGATACAAACACACAACACAAACTATGACAAGCCTTGGTATTTCTGTCTAATGCAGGGGTGGGCAACATTTATTTCCTGAGGGCCGAATGAAGATATTTAAAGCGTTCCATAGAACTGAGAATTAGCAAATACATTTTTTTTAACATCGTTATTGTGGAAGACTTTAGTCAGACTTTTTGTATTGTAGCACAGTTAGCATGCTTGATAAAAATATCTCCTTCATACTCTTTAGGAAGATAAGATGTGCTTTTTTGTAAACTGGCTCTTTTAACGATATATTTGTTAGCTTAAATATGAAAAAATAAAAAAAGTTTGCTTTTTGGTACCTTTAAGGTTCAGTCTATTTCTGGAAACACAACTCCTTAAAATAAAGTTTTTGCCTATCTTAAACTACATTTTGATGTATTTGTCCAAGATGTTTAATTTAAACTTCCTTAGGTTTTATTGACAAAATGCTGTTTTTATCATCTTATTTAGAAGTTGTTTTTAATTAAGAATTTGGGCGCCAGATGGAGATTGTCCAATGGCCACTTTTGGCCCTCAGTCCATATGTTGCCAAGCCAACATCTGGTCTAATGCCTCTACAAGACTGATGACTTTCACTCCCCATGTTGTCACTGAACTGTCAGATGCTCCAGCAACTGCCTGATAACACTACAGATGCACATGTGATCACATCAACTCCTTCTGGTGTCTGTTCTCGTCGCATTAGTTTATTGCATAAATCTAATTATTCTAGCACCCATCACTGGTCTGCATGTGGACTAAATTATATCCAAACTGGACCATTTATTCAGGGTGCCCAACATTTTTTTCTCAGTGAAAGTATTTTCTTGCTCACACACGATCATGATGGCAAAACACATTTTTGGACACAATAATAATAAACGAAAAGATGCCTATTTTATACATTTATAAGATTTTGAGCGTACAAAGATTCAGAACTAGTTCTTACCTTATTTTTTGTCATTGCACCAACTATAAGAGGGCAAACCATGCCGGACAGAGTTCCCACGCCGTTGGAGATACCCATGAGGATGCTAGCATACCGAGGAGCAATATCCAGGTGGTTCACGTTGAAACCTTATGAGGGTTAGAAAAACATTTGCCATCGTCAGAATAAATAACTATGAACAAAAGCCCCAGAATTGTTAAAGTTTTGTTGTAAAGAGCCTGCTGTGTTTCACCTGAAATAGCAAAACCAGAGAAACCCACAGCCAGGACCAGAAACGTGATGGCAACACCTTTTGTATGTGAGAAGCCAACTACCAGCAGGAGGGTCGCCTCCATCCCAAACCCTGGTTCAGATGAAGGTACACAATGAAACAAACAACGGCCTCAACGTGTCAGGTTTCAGAGCAAAATGTTCATTTTCTGCAAAAAAAGCAACTTATTTTTCAGTTGAACAAAATGTTAACTGCAGTTATTTCAAGTCGCTACGTGATAAGTGTGAGCTTCTCTATTTCACATGGATTTTATTATTGTTCAGTAGTTCAGAAATAGCAGAAGGAGTCAGAGCTTCACACTTAGTCATCATTTGCTTATCTGACGTGTGGTGTTTTCACAGCAACTACTGCACAGAGCTAACACTGCAATTACGTAGATTCATATGACTGAACTGAACTGGGACTGAAAAGTGTATCCTTTGAAAAACTAACCATTAAAGTTTTATCTTACTCCAAATTGTAAGTAATCTGGACCATTGCACATCAAGACAAAAGCAGCGAAGCAATAATTAAAAAAAACTTCCCGTTTGAGAAAGAAACAGGTTCAGAGATGGGCCGATGCTTCTTAGCTGGTTGAAAGTAGATAAATTCTACTTATATCTAGAAGTAGTTTTCCATTTGGGTACGCAATAATCTTACAAAGGTTAGACTTTCTGAAAGTAAAACACCTTTTCTTAATGTCCGCATCTGCACCAAATGCATGAATTTCTGCACATTTAAATTTTACAAAATTGGAATTTTGTTTCATTCTTACCTCCACAGTTCATAAGTTTTCGAACATTGGTGGTGGTCATAATCTGGTTTGAGCGCAAATAGTCAGCGATTTGGCCTCCGATGGGAACGATGATGGTCATGACCAGATGGGGCAGAGCTGAAAGTATTCCAACCTAGACGTGTGTGTGTGTGTGACAGAAGATCCATCATCACCAGAACGAATATGAAGGCGAGCTTGTGTAAATTATTTTCTGGTAACTAGCGTCGTGCACAAAGTTACCTTGCTAATCTCAAACCCAAACACCTCCTCAAAGTACGCCGGCTGGCTGATGAGAAGCAGGTAGAAAGTCCAGCTTCTGCAGAAATTGGCTACAATGATGGCGTAGACTGGCATGGAGGTGAAGAAGGCCTTCCACGGAGTGTTAAATTTCTGCAAAACAAAAGCATTTAAATGATAATGTGAGAGCTGAGTCAGCATTTACAAATGTTTTCTACACATAAAAACAATGAGATCGCTCCAGTACTTTCCAAAGCTACTTGCTCTGTTTTTGCCTTCTTTTGTTTCTTTTAGCTACTTTCTGCTACGTTCAGTGTTTTAGAAGCATTCTACTTTTAGCTTCTAGCTAGCTTTCAGATGTTTGCCAGTCCTTGCTACTTTTAGAAAACATTTTTTCTTCTTTTAACTTACATTTTTATTTGTGGCTAGCCTTTTGTCACACCTGTTGCTTTTAGCTTCTAGTTATCATTTTGGTTTTATTTTTTTAATAAGCTTTTTGCTATGCTTTTGTTACAGTTAGCTTTTAGCTAGCACTTTACTACTTTTAACAGGGGCTTTGCTACTTTTTCATTAGCACTTCTTTTAGCTTTTAGCTATTGCTTTGGATAGTTGGTGTAAAGCCATTTAGCATTTAGTAGTCACTGTTAATTTTCAAAGAAAATGCAGTTTCAGTCTTTTGCACATTGAACTAAATAATAAGCTGCACCGACCGATATTGAATGTTGGGCCGACTCGCCGATGCTCTCCTCAATATATTTTCTCTCCTCCTCAGTGATGGTGGGATGAGCTGCTGGACTCTCGTAAGAAACCAGGATCCAGAAGCAGTACCAGAGGACACCAAAACTTCCTGGTGTAAAAGAAAAGAAGAGCTGTGTAAGAGTTCAAACTAATGGCAACGTCAACAAGAAACAACCTCAAAGCAGAAGCTGTAATGCAGAAGTGGAAAAAAGTTGAATGTTCTATATATTTCTTTATAAATACACAACAATGTGGCGTAAAATGACAAAGGACTTTCATGCACGGTGGAGCAGAGGTTTGAACTGTTGCCTCACAGCGAGAAGGTTGCTGGTTCACCTCCTGGCCTTCAGTTGACATTTTCTACCTGAGCACAGGTGGGTTTTCTCTGAGTACTCCTGTTTCCTCCCACAGACCAAAAACGTGCACCTTCGGTTAATCTGTAACTCTAAATTGTCCCTATTGAGAGTGTTGTTTGTCTCCACGTGTCCCTGTGATGGACTTGCGACCTGTTCAGCTCTTGTTTAAAGATAGACACCAGCTCCTCGTGACCCAACAGTAAAAGAAATGGATGGATTTTTATGCAGGTCCAATAAAAATGTTGGTTGGTAAACTACTGATCCTTGAAATAAATTCATACTTGTGCTAAAATTACGTGAACTCATTGACAAGTTCCAGTGTTGACACAAAAACAAGCACACATGGCTCGGGTTGAATATATTTTTAAAAAAAGTTCCTTATGTTATATACTTTCTGACATTTTCTTTAAACCTTACAGCTACCATTTTAAAGTTATTTTTCAAAGTTTGCAGACTGAGATGCAGCAAAATGGTTTCAAACCATGATGCTTCAGGTTTTCCAGATAAGACAAGCTGGAAAACCTGAAGGTGATCGCATCATGGTTATTATCTCTTTAATAACCATGATATTAAGATATTATTATTATGGTTAAATGCTGTGTTGTCTCGTGTTAAAATACACATGTTGCTACTGATGCCTTGCTTGGATAATTAGGTACAATAAGTTACACGAGTACAGGTTTTTTTTAATTATTATTATTAAACTGGGTTATCTAAAATTACAGTGGAGCGGTGGCACAGAGGTTAGAGAAGGTGAGCATGTGATCAGAAGATTGCTGGTTCAACTTCCGGTACTGCCAACATCAAAATGTGGATGGGATAGGTGAAGCATCCACACCTGCCTCCACTTGCATTTGCCCCACGCTGGGCCCTTGAGCAAGGCCTTTAACCCCCACCATCTGCTCCCCCAGGCACCCTAGATGGCAGCTCTCTGCTCCACACAGAGCGCTGTGGTAGCTCAGTTCTCTGTGGTTGCATCAAAATAATTGCCAAGTCTTCATGCGACTGTGGCGACCCCTGACAAAGGGAGCAGCCGAAAGAAAAAAAAATCTAAAATTACAAAAAAACTTGTCTAAACCTCTTACCAAGTTCGCCTGCATATTATCTGTGAGGACTCATGTTCCTATTTACCAGTTGGGTTTTTCTATTCTTGCAGTTTCAGTATTAGTCAGCTTCTGCTGTTTCTCTGTAATGGGTGTGCTGGTACATCCATGCACATTTTAAAGCTTTAATTGTGCAAACAGTACTCTGCATCTTACAAAAACTGTAAATATGCAGTTTCAGGTAAACGAGGCCGTAAAATTCTGCAGCACTTTTACATTCACTCAGTTTGAATCAATTTAATGGAAGCCTCGAGGCAAGTCCGTGCATGTGAGGCTCAGCGGTGTTTTACCGTAGACGTAGAAGACAGACGACCATCCCGAATACTGGACCAGGATTCCAGCTAAAGGCATGGCGATCACAGCGCCTGCATAGGAACCTAGAAGAAGAAAAACGTCTGGTTCACATTTAGATGTCACATTCAAATAACATTTTTTTTATTTTTTCAGAGACGTACTCATACTAGAACCTGATTCTTTGGGTCATAAAGTGTGACTAAAATTAAGAAGCTGAAAGAATTAAACGTTTGACATTTATAGCTGGACTAAAGATACACTAAAAGCCACTTCCTTATCAAACAAACCATCTGAGCTCGTAGCCATATTAGGGAGCACAAGTTTTTCTAAGACAGTGAGAACCAGAGGAACTTATGCTGAACTCACCACAGAAGGCTGTTGTGGCCAGTCGACTTCTTTCAAGAGGAGGTGCCCATTTTGCCCAAATACCATGACAGGCCGGATATGAAACCCCCTGCAGATTGAATTGAAACCAAGAGATAAACTACTAAATGTGCTTTGTTTACTATTGGTAAACAGGATTCCAGCTAAAGAGAAAAACATGGCACCTCTACAAGTCCTTGGAATATCCTGACAAGGATCACACAGCCGAAGTGTATCCGTGCTGCTGTGGGGATCAGCATATTCAGGCAAGAGGTTGCCACTACAGCAAATCCAAAAACTCTGCGAGAGACAAGAAAGTGGAAGGGTTAGATCTTAAGAACGTGTGAAATCATCTTTAGGATTAAAAGAGAAGATTAACAGACCTGTTTGCTGCAAACTTTTGGCAGATGAACCCTCCTGGGATTTGGGTGACGATGTATCCCCAGAAGAAGGAGCCATGGATCATTCCCACCGTTTCTGGATTCCAGCTGAACTGTGCTTCCTGTCAGGAGAGAAACATAAAATGCCGAAACTACAACAAAATAAATGAAGTATTGTACCGACCTCTGAAATGCACACAGATTTTATTTAATGTAACAAAACACACACAGCTTCCAAAGCTGAACTGTGGGTGAAGGAAGTTAAAACAGGAAGGTGGTCCCACAGTGACGCCTACTGGAGAATCACCAGCATTTGGTTTGGATTATTTATCATTTATTTGACCAAAAAGGACCCATTGAGATAAACTAAACTAAACTAAACTAACTAAAGAGGGTTATGGTAGTTCAGTGGACTGTGGTTGTGTCAGGAAGGACATCTGGTGTAGAAATAATTGTCAGTTTTCATTGCAAGTTGGCTTGCTGTGGCAACCCCTGAGGAAGGGAGCAGCCGAAAGAGAAAAATATCAAATCATAAACTTCAGTCATTTGTGTTCAGTAAGTTTAACTCCCTTATTCTATGCATAAACGTGGCATTTGTGGGCTGCTTGCTGAGAACCCGTTGTTCATTTGTCAAACAAATCGGGAGAAATTCTGCCGATGATATCCTGAATCAGAGCTAGATTAGGCCTGTCGCGATAAACAATAAATCAATTAATCGCATGATAAATGAAAATTATCAACCTCATTTTCATTGATCGGCTTTATCGTTTCTTCACGTCTCTTTCTGCTGAAGACAATGGATGACAAAAGGCTCAACTCCGGTGCTCTTCACTGACCCCTCCCTTTCTCTTTAAAATCTGTTTTAACGATCCAAAATCACATTTTTGGATGGTTAAAATCAGCTACGCTGAGAAGCTAAGCTACAAGCTAAGCTAACAGGCCGACCTCAGGCAAAACACCTCCGTCTTGTCGAAGTTCCAAAATTCACGGTTGAAACCCGGGCCTTGGTGTAAAAAGTTGTTTTTCACTGCAAAAAGAAGCTGAGAACTTGTTTGCTGATTTTTTTATTCAAAGCTTTGTGTGACAAATGCTATGCTAAAGAGCTCAAACCACATCGCGTGGCAGCCATTTTGAGAACCGAAGAGAGACAACCCATGTCCTCCTCCCATTTTTCTTAGAGACACGCTGCTCGCTCCCTCTCTATCCATCCTTCGGTTCAAACCGCCTTATACTGCCATCCCGTGGTCAAAAAAGATACTACATGCAAAACAAATTAAACATTTTTTCTTAAATTTGACAACAATTATTAATTATTGTCAAATTTCTAACAATATTATTGTCTGTTGCAATAATTTCTGAGACAATTAATCGCCCAGCAACATTTGTTATCGTGACAGACCTAAGCTAGCTTGCTCTTTTCGTATTCCCCAGTTCCTGTTTGACCTTGATTTTGGATTTATCTTGTTTATAAACATAATTAAAATAGCTTCTCAATAACACTTTTGAGTTTTATTCAGTGAAATATAAAAGAGAAAGGGAAACAGAGTTTTCTTTATTTTTGCTCTCTATCTGGTTCATTCTGCATCTGGGTCCTTCACCTTCATCATAGCCTGTGACTCTATCAGTCATTGAATTGACTGAACTGAACTCATTTGTTAGAGCTGCTAGATTTACTCCCCACTATTATGTCAACATCAATAGGATAGCTTAGATGTTGTGAAGTGGTGTTCTGTGGAAAATTCTTAAATAATGAACATCTAACTTGTCTCTATGAACAACTTTAATGTGGAGAAAAGGAGTGTACCGTATTTTCCGGCGTATAAGTTGCAGGTTTTTTGCATAGCTGTGTCAGTCCTGCAACGTATATGACGAAGCGACTTATATGACGAAGCGACTTATATGACGAAGCGACTTATATGACGAAGCGACTTATATACTTTTTCCCATATTCATTACACAATTTTTGACTGACACTTTAAATTTCAAAGAACTGCAACAGCAAGTCCTCCCGTGCGCACACACTTCACTCAGCTGGGGCAGGTGGAGGAACACTGGAGAGCTAGCGGCTCTGGCCATGATGGATGGATGGATGGTGCCACTCTGCCCAGGCAAAATAAAGCAATTTTGACCATTAAAGTGCATTTAGTAAGGAAAAAAAACTGAGACACACCTTTGCTATAATGTCGAGCAAATAAATAATTGTTTTCTCATTAAACTTTGAAGAACTGCAACAGCGAGTCCTCCCCTGCACGCTCGCTTCACTCAGCTGGTACAGGTGGATGAACGCTGGAGAGCTAGCGGCTTCAACTGCGATGGATGGATGGATGGATGGATGGATGGATGGCACCGCCCAGGCGAAATGAAGCTGTTTTGACCATTAAATAAACGCATAATAAACGCGACGGGTCAGCGGTGACACATAATAAATACGACTTATACGCCGAAGCAACTTATACGCCAGGAAATACGGTAACTTTGACAGCATTGACAATAATAGCTAATCCCAGTGAGGTGAAGACCAAACCATTTGTCTTAGACAAGATTTTATAGTGGTTTGTGTGAGTGCTGTAAAACTGCCATTGGTTTTGTGTTACACCTTTGTTCAGGCAACAAGATTTAAATATTCCAATCAGAAGGGCTCAAATTATCTGCTGCTATTTGCCCTCGGACATGACTCGAACTGTATATTCATTCAGTCAACCTTTATTTATACAGGTTAATCCCATTGAGCCTCTGGGACTCATTTACAAGAGCGACCTTAAATTTGACCTTGTATGATTCTCACTAGATTTCTGTCTTCTTGTCTACTAATCAAATTGACACAAAGAACCTCTTTTCCTTCTATGCCCATATTCTAGCTCTCTGTCCTGACTTGTGCAAAGACGATCAAACTGAGGCATCCTTATTGAAAAATGCTTGAATCTCATTGGATGTTGTTAAAAACAAGTCTTTTGTGTTAAAATATCTGACCCAGGGAGTGGACAAACCACGATGGTGTTGTTGCAGTTAACTCTAAAGCACAGCACAGCTGCGTCCACTCACCACCAACACCTTCTTGTTGTCTCTGATGATGGTGTGGCTGTTCACCATGCTGACGATGGCCACGCCCAGGTTACATCTGATACCAAAGGAGATGCAGAAGCCAATACCAGAGAGGATGGCGATGATGTAGCGCCTGGGCAGGCCGAAGCACGTGCAGTCCACCACGGGCATCTCCTTCTCCTGCACCAGCTCCGGCCGGCCCTCCGCCGACAGCTCAATGGTTTCACCATTTTCCTGTTTCTTCTCGAGCGCTCTGAAAGGAAGCGTTTTGGAACAAATGAGTGAATTTAAAAAAACACTTTTCAAACCCCTCTATGTTTTCTTTCAATCAGACGGCGTGGCCTAATAAAAATGCACAGATTTGACGTCACACTGTCTGTCTTGCTGTCAGTTAGACTGGAAACGCTGAACTTAACCAGCGCCACTCAACACAGGTCTTATTTATAGGGGCTTGCTGAGAGAAGCTTTGACATGTTCTTCAGTTGTTCATTTAATGTGGATTTTATTAGTTTTGTCAGAATTGGCCAACACTGAGAAAAAGTGATCACAGAATCCTGTTTATCTCTGCTTGCTGGGCCACGCAGAGAATCCTTGAGCTCTGCCTCCTGTTTAATAAACATCAGAAGTGTGTCTGAACAGCCATGTATTAAACATGCTCCGTGCAGAGCTCTCAGATCAGACTGGATCAGAGCAGCTTCAAGGTCCGAAGTGACAAATCAAATAGAAGTCCAGTTCACTGCATTGGAACTTTTCATATCTTCATATTCGTGTGAAATAAATAAATATGGATTTGAAAATGTAGACAAGTTCTATATTTTCACATCAATAAAGGGTATTTATGTGTGTAAAATTACACGCTGCATGTGATCTTCTAGGTCCCAACCATTTATATAACCTAGCTACAGCTAACGTTTAAGTTAAACTAGAACATTTCCACAGCTGTGGGAGGTAAGGGCGTGGCGGGTGCTGCAGCACCCCATGTTGTATGTGAGAGGACACATGTTCAAATACATAGTTGAAGAAATATTGGGGGAAATGAGTAAAAACAAAGTATGTTAGTTCAGCATATAAAGTCCAATGTTTTGGTGAGTTTTGTACACAAGTTACAATTTTTTTTTAATACAATTATTTATTAATGTCCATATTTAGACAGTGTGCACTGCATATATTTAGTTTGAAGATATTCATTTGGGTGCTGAGGGTCATAATAATTTGCACATGCTTACAGAAACACCGTATTTAAACTCGAAGGGGACTGCTACTGCTCAAATTTCTAAAACCCCGTGGTAATCTGAGATTTTAATCTAGACTATTACAAGTTTATTATAATTTCATGTAGACATTGAATAAGAAGTGTAAAGGGAAGCAAGTCAAAAACAAAACGTTAAATCTGCTGGAAGTGGTTCATTGAGATCACCGCCGCACACCCAGACAGACAGAAGCAGACTAAAAAATAAACCTCTGCAGTCTCTGCTTGAAAACAACATTTACTGTATATAAAAATATACTAGAGCCATAAGTGGTTTAGAAACATCTGGACTTCACATGTGTCAATGCTTGTGTTTTTAATGCTGAAGGTAGAAAATAATTTCCACTTTTGAAAGAGCAAGTCTAGAAGTCTGAGGTTATATGGTGGAATGTGACGAAATTAAATAAATAAATACATAAGAATTAAATGCATCATTTAATTATTCAATGCATAATTAAATCATTAATTATACAATTAAATTATTAAATACACAATTAATTAAATGTCCCTTGAAATAAATAAATGTACCTTTTAAAAAAAATTTCTTCACATTCTACCCTCTATATGATATCAGTGAGAATATGGATGGCCTCTGAGGGGATTTGAAAGTAATTCATGAGAGATACATTTGATGAAAGAAGACAAAATACCTTGATTTTCATGTATAAATTGTAAAAGACGAGATATAAGGAGTTTGTTAGCAAAACTTTTGGACAGCCTAGCTCAAAGGTTGGTGCAGCGTTGGTTTTTCAAAGCTGAGGGAGGAGATAAAAATTAAAGAATTATATTCAAAAATGGAAAATAATGAGAGAATAATGTGCACTGGCACCTTTAACAAAGGAATTTAATTTATTGGCATCCCACATCACCCAATTTTTTTTAAAATGAAAGCATTCATATAGCAATATTTGTGTCATTCTTTTGTCTGTGCATCCATATAAGTGACCCTGACTGAAACATGAAGTTACAGAACGACGTGTTCCTGTCCACAGCCTGTGTGGGGCGTCCATCCAAACCTTTGACAGTAAGCTGACTGGAAAAGAAAGACTACATAAATATAAAACATCCTCTCTTAGTTACTCTGAGTGTGCTCAGAGGGGCTTCAGTCTCCAACGGTGATCAAGTATTAATGATCCTGAAGGGTAAATTATTTATAGGCTCTCTCTGACTCGCAGTCTATTTTGGTCTGGGTGGGCCGCTCTTCCTGTCTCCTCCTCATCTACACTTTGCCTTTTACCGGCAGCTCCCCTCACTCCCCCCACACAATGTTCACATTTGTTTTCTTCTCCAACAACAATTCATAGTTTCTAGAAAACGTTCCTGTTTTATGCTTTTTTTAATATAATTAGGTTGCAAATCTGTTGCAGTGACTGTTCGTGTGGTAAGAAAAACCTAACCTCTTGTTATAATTACAATTGAAGGAAGAGGTCTAAATAAAGCAATTTTACATTACAGCCTTGATGATTTTTAAGAATGCTGACTCCTCGACTTAGAAGAACTGTTTTTTTGTTTGTTTTGTTTCGAGGTTAATCTTTTGATTTATACGTCAAAGACAAATGAGCCGCAACAGTCAGAGTTGGTTTTGCAGCTTCCAGTAATTAATTGGATAAGAAAGTCAAATATCTTCTGGTAATTGTTTGAAAGGATTAAATCATCCCGTAGAGGAACACAAACACACCGTGAGAAATTCAATGTTTCATTTTCCTAACCATGCCAGCTGGTTCCACTAAACCTGGTTGTTTGAATGTAAAAAGCACCTTTGTCCTCACCCAACGGTTCATAAAAATCATTTAAAAGACACGACAGTCTCCAAAAGAGACATCAAGTGCAAAACTTACGCATTCTATTAAAAACACAAACCTCTGATCTTGGATTAAAGTATATCTGAAAGTACTGGAAGCTCCTCAGGACGATAGTTATTATCGCCCACCACTGAGGGACACAATATTTTTGCCTGTGTTTATGTGTGTGTGTGTGTGTGTTTCTGTTCCATTGGCAAAACATATTGGGAACCATGGACTGATTTTAACCAAACTCTTGGGAATTCATGGGCGCACAACCACATTCAATAACCTCATTAAAGATGGACGCCACGGCCGACTGATCTTAGCAAAGGCAACGATAGCTATACCTCAGTGAATTTTACAGATGTTGAGTTAAAGTTTGTTGTGGTAGTATCTGAGAGTCATTACCAACACAAGCTCAAAGTGCTAACAGATCATGTAAGATATCATTCTGTGGTGTGAGATAACATTTTCAAAGTTTGCTCAAAACAGCTACAAAGCCATCATTTCTCAACACGAGGGGTTCAGTCTAAACGTTAAAAAGTTAACAAAGTGGTAAACAAGCGGCTTTATTAACTAATTACTGCTTGGATACAACAATAGCTGCTTATTCTGACAGGTAAAGTTGATCGTAAGTACATAATTTACTTTTTTTTCTTCTTGTTCTCGGTGAAGGCGGACGCGTTTCCTCCTGCTCCTTCCCCTGCTTCTGCTATTTGTCCTGTGGACCTTTAACCCACCTCTGGCCTCCCTCCTTTTGTTCCTAGGTTGGATGTGAGGTGCCAGGCAGCTGCGATGCGCTCTTGGGCGGCCTCTGCTGGGAGCCCACCCCCCTCACCCACTCCACATGCAGCTTATTGTGTCATCTTTATGTTGCTTTTTTTATTTGTGCTGAGGTTTTTTGCAACCTCACACAGTGTCCTGTTAGAGATACAGTGTGATATATATATATTTGCCTCTTCTTTCCCTCATGTTGCCTTTTCCTTATCTAATGAAAAAAAAGGCAGCGCCTCTCATGAGGCTGCAGCCTCAGGCGCTCCCGTCTCCCCATGTCTATGTGGTTGTTTGTGTTTCTTGGACGGGTAGTACTGAAATGTAATTTTGTTGTGCTTCGGTGTAATGACAATAAAGGCTGATTCTGATAATTTATCTTTAAAATAGTGTGTAATTTACACAACGCACACATTTAAATATTTAGAGAGCATTTTAGAAAACATATAAAATGTCCATCTTGCAAGCTGCGACAATATTGCTCTTGAAAATGTCCAATAGACCAAACATAAATGGGTTTACACCAAAAATCCTCTCTGAAAGGTTCATACTCCACCAGGCATTTAGTCCTAAACATCAGGAATTTGATCCAAGACAATTCCCTGGATTTGACTTTTGTGTCTGAGCGACAGTTTGTTGGTTTTGATAATCATTAGGTGTTCCTGGTGAAAAGTGAACTACCTGCTGTGAGCTGGAACAGCAACTTTCAGACATTTCTGACTATTCCAAGCAGATCCATGCCCTCCCACGTGAAGCGCCCACCCTCCTGCTCTTCTAAATGTTGCATGCAGAGGACAGGAACTGGTGGAACATCACGCACAGCAGCATCAGCCGAGGGAACACCTCAGAGCACGTGCACTCAACGAAAAATGACAGCTTACAGCTTTCTGCCATGAGGCCGAGTAGACTAATCCTGGCAGAGGGGGAGAGGGGGAGGAACTTGGTGACGAGTTACCCGGCTACTTATGGAGGGGGAAGAGATGGCCCAGGTGAACATCCTGCAGGGATTTACGCAGGCCGACAGCTTGAAGAGGAGAGAGGCTATTTGTGGAGAGGATTTAAGTGTTCAGACCGTGCATCAAATCCCAACAGAGAGAAAGGGGGAGTCCATCAATACGTCCTTGTTCTCAGATCACTTGCTCCTCACTGACTCCTGGAGTGGGCCACACTTTCTGTTTTTGCTCCTCTCAGTCAACAAGGCGAACTGCTGAGCAATAAACTCTTTAGACAACTAATTTTGAGCCACTGAGTTCATTGCTCTTCACTTAAGATTCATGTAACTGTGCAAGAATTATTAGTTTTTTTTTAAATATTAAGACTCCACTAGATTGAAAGCCCAGTAATAACACCTCACTTGCTTTACAGTAACTTTTTGAAAAAGCAGGATTTTTTTAGAAAACGACAGTAAGTTTGAAGGTTAAAACTGAAACATAACGCTAGACACACACACACACACACACACACACACACACAGAGCCAACAAAGACTTCTCTAGCTCAGTAATATAAAGCAACAGCAGAAAACTGATCCAATTATTGATCCAGGCTTCATCTTACACTGATCGGACAGATTATTCCAGAAATGTCATTTAATTTGATCTTTTGTCCCCAGGAAGCAACTGGGGGTAAATGTATCTTTACTGAAGATTTCAAATGTTTAGTTTTATTGGTTTTGTGTGCTCTTAAGTCTTACCCTTACACCTTCTAAGACGGTTCTTTTATTGTTTGTCTGGTTTTATAAACCCAGATGTGGCAGATTACCCTGAGCCTCAGAACATCTTGATCTTCTAACAGATAATCCAAATTCATTTTACTCCATTCAACACAACATGGGATGTACATACCCGTAGATTTTCCCGAGAGTCTTGGCTGCCACGGCCTTAAACCTGTCCGGCCGGATCTCCATCCTCACGGCTCCAGAACCGGACCAAAGTGGACTCTTTGCGCGCCCCTGTCCGAGCGCACAGCCTTCTCCTCTGCTTCGTCTTTTTCTTTTTACTCACATAAAAAAAACAGTTACCTGGTTCCGACTTGCAGTTACTTTCAGCTAATTGTTATAAACCGAATTAACATTTTCAGTCCCACTTTACCAGAACCGTCCAGGTCCAGATGAACTTCCTCCGCTGCGTAAAAACTGATAAAACGCGCTGTGCGTAACTTTGGTCCGAGCGGTGCCTCTGGAGTCTCTGGCCCTGGTCCTGAAAAGAGATTACGGCTGCCGGCTCGCTAATCTCCCGGTGTGTGGAGTGGAAGCGTGTCACTTCCTTTCCACGCAGTCCAGCACGCGCTGTTTTAAGCGCAGAGGTCTATTCTGGGAGCAGAGTGAAGATGTCCGATGGAAGAAGCATGTGAACACATTTGCATGATCATGATTATCATATGTGCCAGGATTGGGTTGAATAAGAACTTTAAACGCGCAGTAAACTGTGTCCTGGGGTGGGGGTGGGGGTGGGGGCGACAGACAATGAAAGATGTCGACGTTAGCATTAATAATTTAAAGTTCTTCATGATCTAAGATTTAGAGTTATATTGCTTTAAAAAAGTACATTCTGGTTCAACTAAATTTTTGACGTGTCCCACACATGGTACTTTAATGAATAATGCCTAAACAGTTAAAAATTAAAGCATTCACAGCACTTAACACAATTAAGACTGTGTACGTAAACAGTTGGCTTCAATTCTAAATTCATTATTCTACCATCTTTTTTATTAAAAAGCCTCAGGCGGCTGAGGTGAGCTGGACTGGGAAGCTCAGTCCTCACCTCCTTCTACAGGTGTGCAGTGGAGAGCATCCTGTGCTCCAGCATCAACGTGTGGCATGGAGGCTGCACAGCTGCAGAAACAAAAGCTCTGCAGAGAGTGGTGAAGGCTGCAAAGAAGTCTGTTGGAGTCAGTCTCCCCACCATCGCAAACATTTACACCTCCAGATGCAGGAAGAGGGCCACCTGCATCATGAAGGACCCCACTCACCCAGCACACACACTTTTTGCCCCGCTCCCCTCAGGAAGGAGGTTGAGGAGCATTAAGTGTAGAAGCACTAGACTGAGGAACAGCTTCTACCCTGAGGCTGTTAGACTCATGAATCTCTAACTAGAATAATCACTGTGAAAAATCACATCATGTTGCTGCTGATCTGTTTCAATGTTGCTGCTGATCTGTTTCATGTTGCTGCTGATCTGTTTCATGTTGCTGCTGATCTGTTTCATGGTGCTGCTGATCTGTTTCATGTTGCTGCTGATCTGTTTCATGTTGCTGCTGATATGTTTCAATGTTGCTGCTGATCTGTTTCATGTTGCTGCTGATGTGTTTCATGTTGCTGCTGATGTGTTTCATGTTGTTGCTGATCTGTTTCATGTTGCTGCTGATCTGTTTCATGTTGCTGCTGATCTGTTTCATGTTGCTGCTGATCTGTTTCATGTTGCTGTTGATCTGTGTTTCATGTTGCTGCTGATCTGTTTCATGTTGCTGTTGATCTGTTTCATGTTGCTGTTGATCTGTTTCATGTTGCTGCTGATCTGTTTCATGTTGCTGCTGATCTGTTTCAATGTTGCTGCTGATCTGTTTCATGTTGATGTGTTCATGCGTGCTCATCTGCTCACACAGACTCGTGTTCATGTTCATGCTGCTGTTCAGCGTAATGTTTTTATGCTATTAGTGCTTAGTGTATTTTTAGTTGATGTTTTTATTAGTTCATATCTTATTACTGTTTTTCTTTTACATTTTAATACTTTTGTTGGATGTGACTGGGACC